GAAAAACAACTTTTATTTCAACAAAACGCCTAACAATTGATTATTTGACACTCGAGTCCTAAATATATACCAAATATATTTATAACTGGCGTTCAAATGATTTCTCAAAAAAGCACAGACAGAGAAAAATGGGGAGAAAAAACTTATTTAACTTATCATCCAATGATTGAATGAAATAACAAATCAATTAATTACACAAAAAGAAAGAAACAATAAATTAATTGATATGAAGAGCACGTAAAACAAATCCATACGAAAGCATATTTGGTGGCAACAGAAACAGTGCTTTTCAAACACCAAAGCCTTTTCACAAAACACCCAAAAAAAAAGTCTCCCAAAAATACACAAAACTTTTGTGCGAAAAGCTTTTGCTTAACAAAACTTTTGTTCGCTTCACAAAAAGCTGTAATAACTTTTTGAACGAAACACTGAAACCGTTTCACTCTTTCGCACCGCCACTAGAGGTGTGATTAAAGGCAGCGCTACTTAACACACATCTCACACACAATTACGGCAACCAATTGCCACACATTATACACATTGAATGCAGTATGAAATGCCATACAATACTATGGGTTCACGCGTTTTGGGGGCACTACTAGTGGTGGTGAATGTGTTGGACGTAATGCATGGCATTGTATGCATTCATTTTAAGCGCCATAGCGTTGGGCAACAGTAAACAAATGGCATTAAAAAACAAGTGTTGGAAACGAATGGTTGACTAAACTCTAATCAAATGTTTTGAATCACTATTTCTTTTGCAATCATTTGTTTTGATTTTGTCTGCAAATTAAGACTCGCTTTCATTGTTATAACCAATCATTTGCCACACAATCGGATCAATCAATGCGTGTATTATTGGTAACAATGACTCAAAGCATGGCTTAAACTATTGTTTTACGCATTGTTTTTGTCACACATTTTCATTGATGTAAACATTTTTCGGGTAAATATTTTGACCACTTTTTCTCTGTTTTGAATTTCAAAACTCACGAGTAAAACGTTTTCTCCGTTTCTTTTGCAGACAGTATTGCTTATGGTTTTGGCCGAAGAAGTAATGGATTAGCGGAGGAATGAAGACTAAAAAGCTATTGAATTCAAACCAATCGCGTGTCGTCACCAACAATGAGAACTCCAAGAGTGTTGTCGACGATCTCTTGTCGCCACTTCTTCTGCAGACGGATCTCATTGATGGTGACGTCGATGATAGCCGACCAACGGTTGAGCCCATTATTGAGGCCAACTGTAGGACAGATGACATTCTCGGGGCCGACACCGAGTCGACTGTAAATGAGGACCAAATCCTAAGCCATATGC